GGAAGGAAGGAAGGAAGGAAGGAAGGAAGGAAGGAAGGAAGGAAGGATGAAGTGCTAGGACATTATGTTTGAAATAAGTACCATTTCACACTTTGAGGATTACTAGTCCCAAACGAGAAGGTAAATTAATGAATGCTGTGTGACCAGCGGGTGAGATACGGGCTGCCTTTTAGTGAGAAGTTATCGGTTTCCCAGTGAGCATAGGATGTCCAGAGGATATGCTTTCTGGAAGGACTGAGGAGTTCTCAGGCATGCCCGTGTGGCCTTCTGCCACGAATGCAAAGGGGAAACTCCACCAGGTGAATTTGTTAAACCTGTAATTACAAAACTAAACCTGCAGGTGATCTGGGCATCTTCGCCCATGCGTCGAGAAATATCATTCTCCCAAGAGTCACTGAAAGTCGTGGAGCCCTCATATGTAATAAGTGTCATCAAATTACCTTCCATGACTATTAATGCAAATAGGAACATGAACATTGAAGCAGCGATGTTATAAATATGAGTACCCCTGATGTTTGGTCAGATCTCAATCAATCGATAATGCGCAATGACAAGGAATGAAGGCGCTTCTCAGGCGACAATCACAAAAGCCTGCAGGACGCGGTGTCTTGTTCTTCCTGAGTTATTGCTAAACAAGAATACTTGCACACCGGAATAAATATGCAGCCAAACAGAGAATAAAGTAAATGCATCCCCTACCCCAGTGCTGGTATCCACAGGAGCAGCTCCTTATTACTAAATTTTAGAGACACATATTGAGATAAGCTTGGTAGGTAGGAAATTACAGGAAGATAATGTAATTCTGCAGTCATAAAATATTCCATAATGGAAGGGGCTGCAAGACAATTTTGGCACCGGCAACATTTGCTTTTGTAATATGATCATATGTTAAGGTGATTTTAAAAAATCAATTTAAAAATTCATAAGATGATTTTATTCTCCTATTACAATACAGGTTTATTATACAATATTTCATCCAGGAATTGTTTGGGGGGGGCTATTTTACAGGACAAATGTTCTCTTGGGTCACTTGATTCCAAAGACAGAACAAAGCCCATCGTTCAAATAAAGTGTTTTCTAATTCGTCTCTATCTTGGCCCCCATTGATAATTCCCAGTTCACAAAATCCACAAAAGCTGTGCATGCACCTGTGCCCGGTAAACCCACAAGATCCTAGCCTGCAGCACCCTAGACAAGCAACACTGTTAACTAGGGACAGCTGTTCATCTGGTGTTCTCACTAACCAATAGCAAAAAAAAACATGGCTATAAAAACAGAGCTTGGCCAATATTTTCCTTTCCAAATCCCTCCATTATCTCCTCATCTTCAAAACTGACCCTGCAGGTGAAGGATGACAACAGACACACTCAAATTTTTAGAAAGATTCACACTGTGCAATACGTCCTAAAAGAGTTTGCTAAGAGAATTATGTCGTGAAAATGACACTGTTTTCAAGCTGACTGAGGACTCACACAGACAGGCGCATTGTCACTGTTAGCTGGGGACTGACCTGGTATTGGTTGAGCTGCTAATACCACAGTGGGAAGAGGCCTGGAGGCAGGAGCTGGCCTAGACAGAGATGGAGTTACTTGGTTTGCCAGAAAATGAGGTTTTTCATGGCTGTGGAAGAGTCCTGATTCCTCGGGATATATCCACGTTGAGTCCAGAGCAAAGGAATTATTTAAAAAGATCTGTCCAAAATAAAGGCAAACAAAACATTCACAAACAAAACACTTGGTGGAATATACAGGTGTATACTATTGTTCACTGGTCCAATGGTGGGTATTATACTACTGGACAAACCACAAACGTGTGAATTTACAACTTAAAGAGAAGGATTGCTGTAAGAAGCCAGAGAAAGACCTCTAGCTGAGACTGAGCTAATCTCCAACTACCAGCCCAGCTAGTTCGGTGCAACAGCCAGGTGACAAACTGAAGAATCACCTGATGAGATCACCATTTTGTATGGTAGAACAAATTAATATGTTATTCCATCTTTCATATTCAAGTAAGTAAATGATATTCAGGAAACTTGAGTTCATAAACCATCAGAAAGGAGAAAAAAACAAAGTAGGACTCATGAGAAAAAAAACTCCTTTTCCAAAATGTGAAACTTGCATTTTGTAATATTTAAGAGTGGATTTTGATCAATGGTTGTAGATTTTAAAGTTGAAAAAAAAATTCTGATTCAGAAATTGTTGCTTTTTCAACAGAACCCAAGTGTTTGAGTCATGATGAAATTATCCCTGTCTGCTGCTGTCTCTGAATAGGTCAGTCTGGTTCCGGGATGAGCCCTCTCTGTACTCAATCTATTACAATTAGAAAATGTGAAATGTTTTCCGTTAACATGGTGATACCCAGCGACTTATCAATTAAAAATCCACTTATCCAATTAAATCGCTTGCACTTTTACCTTGTAATTAGGCATCCTCTTGTCTATCCAGCTTTTCCCAACAGGAGGTGGCAGAGCAGAAGCGCAGACGTGTGGGAAAAGGGGCACCAACTCCACAGCAGAGGAGGGGGATAGTCCTATGGATGGAGAATGACCACCAAACAGCCACTGGGATCCAAAATTAAGAGAGAGAGAGAGAGAGAGAGAGAGAGAGGAGAGAAACATTAGCCTGTGTTGTACCAAACGATGCTGGAGTAGCTTTTATGATAAAGGAATTTAAGCATAGAAATTTGATGAGAAAATTCTATCATTTCCAATCAAGAAAGACCATGAACATTTATAAATTACAGAGAGACTTGTGAAAGTTTCATATCTGGATCATCATAAAATTATCAGTTTGATATCTGTCGATATTGGGGAGGAACTTCTACAGCCCAATGGTTACACAGAAACCTGGCAAAACTAAGTAGGTCATGAAACAAAGCCTAAAGTCAGGAATCTTGGAAAGGAATTGGGGTGGGGGTGATGGGGTGGGAGGGAAACAAAAGAGAGTGGGGGGAAGAAACCAGAAACCCTTCTATTCATGCAGGAGATCAACATAATAAAAAAAATAGAAAAAGAAATGAGTTTCTGGCCTGGGCGGATGGGAAGGGCAAAGGCTGGCTTTGGGACCATTTGTTTTGAATTCTCTTCATGGAGAGCACAGAGCTGTATCTCTGGCATCCCCATCAGTGTGGCGATTTGCATCCATCTCATTTACTATTTTAAAATTGTTTTAAGGAGCTAAGATTGTAACTTTCTCAAGGTTCATTAATACAAACAGATACCAGAGCCAAGGAAATGCAAGGACTACTTGGCTGAAGATCTCAGACAGACAGCACAGGAAGGGACAGACGCTGAGTACAGGTCACCCAGTAACCTCCCCTCCCTCTTCTTCACCCCAGAAAGGTGGAGGTGGGGAAACACTCAGAGGCCGTTGCTTCAAAGGCACAAGGGTTTGCTTGTTTTTGCTGTATGTAAAATGACTCTCTGATTTTAGCTATCCTTACTAAGATAGTGAATAGCAGATAACATGTAAATGACAAATGCTAAGATTTTCCGGATTTTTCTTTTTAATTTATGGGGGGGGCACAAGAGCGGGGGGGGGGCACAAGAGCTGGGAGGGGGCAGTTTTCAACATTATGTACCTCTAGTGGTAACACTCTGAAATGACAGCCCTCCTAAACATGGAAAAACCTACCAGAGCTTATCCAATAAAGCCTAATCCGATGTGCATCACACATCAAGATAGGATGCCCAGTATGGCATGTATCATTATCGTTAAGTCTAAGGAACAGCTTAGGGGAAGTTTCATGACGTCTTCTAGAAAAATTCACAAGGTGGTACCAGGTTAAAATTAATTAAAAGGAGTATTGTAACCGAGCGCTTATTTGAATATGCTAATGAGGTCAGTTTCGGAATGAAATATCTGCTATTCCTGTATTCAAACTCATTTGCACAGATAGTGAACAATAAATTTGGCCAAAGCCAGGAAAGGTCGCACCACCGCGCCATCAATCGAAGGTATAGTCACTTTTCTTTGCCGTTCCAGGCTCTGCATGCCAAACTCTTTTAAAGTGGAATCTGGCTTAAGGGAATTCAAATGGCAGGAGAGGAAATCCCCACCCCCCAAAACATTTTCAGGGCAGGATTTCCAGGCTGCCTTCCGTGGCTGGAATTCTCTTAAGCCCGGCCCTGAATCTATGTGAAGGAGTAGGGAGACCAGATCAGAATCAGAAATAGCTATTGATCCGCAGCTTGCTTTCAAGTCTGGCGGAGGCTGTAAAAGTATTAACTTCGAGGCGGTGGCAGCCACGGTAGTTGGTTGCCGCGCTGAGATCCGCGGCGGCGACTTCAGCACCGCGCTCTGGACAGCGCCCGGCGCCCTGGGAAAGTTGGGTC